GTACTAATATGGTCATACTTATGTGGATTACTCCCTAAAAAAAAAAAAAAAAAAAAAAGAAAAAAAAAATTTAAATCAAAATATTATAAATAAAAGACTAGATAAAAACATTTTATGTAATGTTAAGTAAACATACATTTCGTTCCCACTAAGCTCAACTCGCTTAATATTTCATTTAAAAGAACGTCAGTTTTTTGTTCTTTTTGAGTTTGCACCGAAGGTAGAGGAGAAATCGCTTTTGGTACCGGAATAATAAAATCCGATTTAGGATATTCCAAAGATAGTTTTGGAGTCCCATTTTTCGTTAGAGTCGATGGTATTGGAGTGACAGGGTTTTCGTTATCATTAGAACGTTTTTTTTTACCGAACAATAAATTTAGTTTTCCCATTAAGACCAAAGAAAATTACAAAAAAATGAGGTAATATTTTAAGGTATATATCGATGTGTATATATATATAATTTTTAATCTATTTCAATAAAATTTATATATTTGTTGTGTTTTACGAATGTATATTTACAGGTGAAACCCAAAACTCCATCAAACTAGTTTGTATCCAGCCAAACTAAAGTCAGATACCACGCTCTTGATTTTTTTTAAGTAGTTGAAGAACCAAATTTAATTATTTCATGTTTATAACCTTTTTGTGAAGAAGATCTGCACAATGTGATAAAACCGATTATGTCCGATAATGTTTAAAATTTAATAAATATATACGTTATTTTTAACTATATACACATAATAGGTTCATAAATATGTATGTACGTACGTACGTACAAGTAGCATCGGTATCTTTGTGAATTATAATTAAAAATATATCGCTTATGTGATCATATCAAAGAAGTTAATTGATGCATCTTTTTCTTAACGTTTAGGCTGATGATTTTCTGATTTATTGATGAAATGCATTTTTGAATTAAAAAACACATATAATAGTTTTTTTTGCAGAATTTGTTTGGTGTTAAAACACAAACGTATGTATGTAAATAAGATACGAATACTTCTGTACCTATGTCTTATTTATGTATGTACAGTTGGTTTATACTTTTAAGTTCGCGGAAATCTAAACTATTCTTCGTAAAGATCGAATTTTTCTAAAATCAATTTATAGAATTCTGAACACAATGGCAAAATAAGGAAATGCTATGTATAACTATTTATGAATTATTGCATTATATAATTTTATAATATATACTTTCGGTTGCAGATATTAGACAAGAGGTGACGGAGTTTTGTTAATGAAAAAAAAATTTTTTTTTCGGATAATCAATTCATGCTAATCCTTTGTTTTCTATCAATAGATCACTTTAATTGGTGAATTTGCGAGTAATTGGAATAATTGATGTATAATAATATGAAAGCAAAAATGATTGGTATAGCGATAGGCATAGTGATAGGTATGATAGGTAAAATGATAGATATTGAGATAGACTTGCATATGA